TTGCTTGTTCCTCATGGGGACGTCGCAGTTGTTTCATTTGYTGTTGAGCCAGCAAATCAAACATGGAGCGTGCAGACGCTTCAGACACAGCTGCACACTGGTGGGGAATTTGAGTTTCTCAGCTATCATTACAGAGGATCACCTGACAACAGAAAGTGTAAAGTGCTGTTTATACAAAGAGGCAACACATCTAAATGTTCTTGATGTTTGCCCAGAAGCTGTTGGTTTTTAAAGAGCCTTACATTGCTCTGTATAATTTACTATAAACACAAAACTAGGCTCTGCTTTTTGTATTTTTTATTTTTTTCCCATATTTGTGAGCCTGTGTGTGTTCACTTATCTGTTAACAAAATATAATATGARCCACTGGACAAACACACTTTTATGTGGAGTGTACATCGGCTATACAACGATAGAAAACCTAAAAAAAATGGCGATAACAAAGCCAGTTTTACAGATACTGARGAAAAAAATTGATGTGGTAGTAGCTGAGAGTCATTCCCAGGAGAGTAAACCACTCATGACAGATCTATTTTAAAACTTTACCATTAACTGCTGGAGTCAGCTGTGTCAGTTTGCTAGCAAACTTTTTCCGACTCACCAATGAGGCTTCATCTACACTCCCAGAAAAAAGTTATTTTTTTTACTTTATTTAATCTTTTTTAATCAATTATGAACTTAATATTTATGATTCAATGCATAAAATAAAATACAATTAAATAAAAAAACTTAAAAATACTTGTCCAACCCCTGAACTATTGGCTTTCAGTAACTCTGGCCCCCTGAGCAATTTGAYAACCCTATGTCTCAAAATATACTGCTTTAGAGCCAGCATTGACCAAAAACTGCACATGTTGATTATGCATGGGAATTCCCCGAGAGTTCAGAATTCAATAGAGGAGCTGCTACTCAACACAACTCAACAGTGAGTAAAACTCTTATTTTACTTTTAAAATTTGTCTTTTATAACATTCAGTCAGTCCATAGTACAGGGTTCTGACAATGAAACTGAAACATCTGCCATTTTAGTGTGGGAGGTTAAATTGGCTAAATTGGACCAGCCTGGTGGCCAGTCTTCATTATTTGTACATTGCACAAGTAAGAAGATTCAATTWGCAGGGTAAGAGCACAGTTTTGCTCAAAATATTGCAATGCACACAACATTATGGGTGACATATCAGAGTTCAAAMGAGGACWAATTGTTGGTGCACGTCTTGCTGGTGCATCTGTGACCAAGACAGCAAGTCTTTGTGATGTATCAAGAGCCACGGTATCCAAGGTAATGTCAGCATACCACCAAGAAGGACGAACCACATCCAACAGGATTAACTGTGGACGCAAGAGGAAGCTGTCTGAAAGGGATGTTATGGTCTAAAACCAGGTGKTTCAGTTTCATTGTCTAACCCCTGTACTTTTCARTGTTTAGGACATGTTAAAACACTGTTTCTATGCAGGAAATACCACGTAGAGCTCATTTATTGTTTGTTAGCAGAGTTAGGGCGTAGCAATGAGAAGAGAAACGTGATGATTTGTGTTTAGTGGAAGTTCAATGGAAGGTCAGTCAAGACAACAACTGGTCCTTTGAGGGCCACCATAACCGTGGCCCTCTGCGAATACATGTTTGACACCCCTGCTCTAAAGTAATCACTGGCTGAATRTATCTATAGAAATCTGAACATGTGGCAATGAAGATTTTTTTAATTGCCTCTGACAACTCAAGTTGTTGAGTCATAAAAAAATTGCGATGTAAATATGTCAGCGAGATTATCAGCTGCTTCACATTAATTTGGATGCTCAGATGTTTTTTTTTTTTTTTTTTTGATGTCTTTCAGACTGAGAGGCTTTTTTTGTGTGATGAAAGACTTGGAGACAGAAATAGCACGGCAGACAGCGAGGAAGAGAACGCACAAGTTTCAGAGGTGAGGCGATGCAGCACGAAGCTGCCTCTTTCTTTTCTTCGTCCGATGCCTTTGGAGGGCAGCTTTGTGTGCCGTGAACTCCCCTGAGACCTCTTTTTGTTCTCAGAAGATGAAGCCTGACAGAGTGCGACCGGCCACTTACACCTGAAGCCACCAAAAGCACAGGGAACAGTRTGTTTATACCATACAATGAGTCGGCTCTTTTCTTGTGTACTTGGCCAAAATAAGATCAAGATGTCCTCAGCAGCTTTGCACCCTCATGCTTCTTGTCTAAATGTATAGCCTTTAGCTAAAAGAAACAGCAGATAAAGGAGCAGCACTAAGTACTGAGATTAATTTAGGAGGTGCCACATCTGAAATGTTGACAAACCGATCACAGCAAAAACAAAAGTCAGTTCCAGAATAATCCCACCGTGCTCCACAGATTACAAATGATAAAAGCACGTCGTCTCGTTTGCGTGTCACCTTGGTGAGTGGCCGCCTCTGACAGGCGACATACAATAACACGAATGTCATGTTTGTGTGTCAGCTAATTAGGTCCTGCGAAAATGAGTCAAAGCTTTGCAGATAAGACAGAATATCAGGCAGAATGCAGCCTGCCCTACATCCTGTGTCCCACACGTCACTCTCAGAGGAGCAGAGATGGAGAGCACAGACATGGCAGGCGTCCAAGASGAAAAGGTGAAACTGTTGGCACAACAGAGCTGGATGTTGCAACCAGCTCATTTTGTTTGACAGTAAGCAAGTTAAAAATTCTGGGTTCTTACTAAAATAAAAGAACTCTGAATGACAACAACTGTTAAAAAAACAATAAGAATTATTA